CCCCTGCATTAACACCAGACCCCCCCTACCCCAAACCTCCCTATTAATCCTGCATTGACCCCCCCAAACTCATATGCTCCCCTCCATGTCCTCTTGTAGTCCCTACTGTAACACCAGATCCTTCTGCTCCCCCAGCCTCCACCTCAGTCCCAGAATCATTGGAAGGCAACTCTGGACCAACCCAGATGTCCGTATCCCTGACTCACGTTCCTGGAGAAGATTAATCACTGTCCAGCCCTGCAGCACGTCCTCGAGCCTCTGTCCTACCCATGTGACCAGGACCTTGTCTATGGAGTCTGGTCACCCCAGGACTTGTCACCCACCACCCTTCCGTTAGCCCATCAACTCAGATATGCCCCAAAGCCGCCCACTGACCCAGGAGAGCCCCCTTAGTCCCTTAGGATATAAACCCATTCACTCCCTGCCTGTACTTGTTCCCCTCTCTCGCCATGCTATGCATGAGAGGCTACTAAAATTGTCTCTGTAACCTAAGGTCTAATTCCTTAACCTTCCTCAATTTCAGGTTGACAAAGTGTTTTCTCCTGTTCCCCACCTACTTGCCTGTCTCCAGGGATGCTGCTATGGAGGAGCCAAGCAAGCCTGGCTGTCCTGCGCTTTGCTCCAAAGGCTCACATTTTCGTGGTCCGCATTAAACACCTCCAAACATGGACATCACGGTCAAGAGGCATCTCTGAGACAGCCAGAGCATGAAGTTATGTGCTCTGACAAGGCCATATGATCTGAGCTTTGCTAACAAGGGGGTAGTTTTCCAGGTGGGGGGAGCTGTGGTCACCCAGGAAAGGCAGGGAGAGAAGAAAGAGCAAAACCACATTGGCCAGGTTGGTCTTTAAAGGAATGGCTCCAAGGGATGCATCCCAGCTGGAGCAGGAGCCATGGACCAGGTGGGAAGAGGGGATGGGGAGAGGAGGCCAGGGCAGCAGTGCTGGTTTTTTGGTCCATCAGGGTGTCACAAGGGTGCTAGGCTTGGCCAGACACTGGGCTCAGCTCCTGGCTGGAAGACAGCACCAGACAAGCACTGATGGCTGCATGAAGGCATTGACCCAAGGACCTCTGCCCATGGTGGTCTACACAGACAGACTGCTGATCTCCAGAAAGAGCATGAAGGAGTCCCCAAGCTTTCTGCTAGCTCTGCTCCTCCTGTAATCTGAGAAGAAAGCCCATCGCAGCTACCAGCCTGGCAAATCACATGGGGATCAGGTAACATGAGTGCAGACCTGGTCCTCCACGAGCTCTGATCCTGTCCAGAGGCTGCAGCCTGGCAGCACGACCCTCCCGCTCCAGGGAGGGATATTTTTTCTCTTCTGGTTATTTCAGAAACAGCGTTCGGCATCAGGGCAAAGCCAGGACACCAAGAAATGGTATCAGTATCTCGAGGAGGGCATGTTTCCTCCAAAGCTATGTGATAACCCAGATGTTCCTCGATTACTTTCACCAGTGAGGAGGAATATGACTAATAGAGCCTCCTCCTTTCCTGAAATACCTTTGGGATGCCTGAGGGATGAGGTCCCTGAGGCAGGAGGAGAGGGTGCCTGGCTTCCAGCCATTTTTGCTGCCTGCGGGCCATGGATAGGTACTGGCAGACCCTCCAGCTCCCCAGAGCAGCTTGGAGTGGCTCAAACGTGCCAAGTGGGTCATGAACCAGGAACAGTTCTGGTAAAAGAGAGGACAGCCCTCCTGCCCAGCACAGCTATTTAGGGCAAGAGGAGACTGTCCGTCTGTCATTCTCCAGCTGCCTTTGGCTCCCTGGTGTGTCTGGCACCCAGAGGGAAGGATTGGAGAAGCTCTGTTTTCTCCATACCTTGACCCAAGACATCCGGTCTTGGATGGTCTTGGCGACATCCTTGACCCCTCAGCATTCACATGGCCCATACTTTGATGACTTTTTCCATCAGATGGCCACCTCCAGACTCCCACAGCCATCAACTCTGCTCAGCAGTTTTCTGTGTCTCTTTCCCAAAGGCGATTGTGATGTCTAACCTAAACAAAAAGAGGGTTTCTTTTGATTATGTGTTAAGAAAAGCAATTTAAAGAGCTCTGGAAAAAAAAAATCAATACCAAAACTCTAGTTCATAAGGAAATGAGCAGTCAGATTTCTCTCCTATTTCAGTTCGAGTGAGTGCAGCTGAAAATTAAACACTTTCCCCAGGAAAATAACATCAATGCAATTATTTTGCTTGAAGTTCTTGATTTGATTAAAACTTGAGTTTTTCAACCTGCTCGGTGACGTTTAGATGCTGTTTTCTCTGTTGACTCACGGGATGACTCATAGGTTAAGAGCAAGTGAATCAACATGGTTTACCATCCAGACTCATCTGGGCCACGTTACCGTAGTATATTGGCATCTTGTTTATTCGCACATTGCCGGCAAGACTGCCGTACGTCGAGCAAGCTCAAGCGTGGAAACACTGTGCTGCCTGCTGTAGATGACAAAGGCATCGTGGCAGGTTGCCCAAGTCCAAAGTCAAAAGGATTCCCTTAGAGACCAGACTCGGGAGCCAAAGATTTCATTAGCCACCACGATGGCTTCACTTGTGGATGCGCGATGGGGAGGGAGAAACTGCTCCCATGGAGTCATTTCACCAACAAGGACAGGAGCAGGGTGTCTCAGCCCCCCGACCTTGGGGTGAGGGAACTAAAATGAGTCTGGTGTCAGAAACAAAATGAAATGCCCACCAGTGCGATTCCTCCACCTCAGCATGAAAACAAAGAGCACACGGAGTGGGATGCGCTGGCTGTTCCTGCAGGCATTTGGGAAGGCTGAACATTAAAATTTCAGTGATCATTTCAATATCAACACATTTTTTGCCTGAAACTCCAAATATTTCAGGATTTAGCTGAAATACTGGGTATTTGTGTTTATCAGTAAGAAAACATCTCTTCTCTACAGGAAGAAGATACTTTTTATAAGTTGGTTTTGACCCACATTTCCAGCCCTCTGCACCATTGATATGTTGCCTTATTTATCTTCCAGGTAAAACATAGGTGTAAATAATGACAGCTTCATTTCTTCCTTAAAGGATCAGATCCTCCTCGTGCCGCTGTTACTGAAACCCCCCAAAAGATGCATCATGGTCATCTTTCAGCTGACCTTATTGACAGGACCGCATGGCAAAGAGATAAATCTGGCTGCACCCCAAAAGCATCGGGTCTACCCATTCACCCGGATTTACCGGTTTAGGAAACTGCATCATCGAGGACCTGCCAGGTGGGACGGGAGAAGCCTCGGCAGCGCCATTCCCCAACACAACAGCTGATGTGTCCTTGTGGGAAGACAGGAGATGCCTCCGACAGCTGGGACAAATCCTGGAGGCTTTCAGAGATTAGGAGCAGCCCTAAAACAGGGCTCGGGGATTAGACAGGAGGTGGTGAGGTCTCCCCATTTGCACATCGTAAAGCAAAGCAGAGATGCCAGAAGTCCAGGATAAATGAAGGGCTTCTTAAAGCCATAACATCCTCCATGCTTGTCCCCTTTTGCCTGTCCTCATGAACATCTCTGGAAAGCCCGGTGGGGTCTTTGCACCCCGGGAAGACAGTGAAAGCAGCAGGGTGGATGTCACATGTGGTTACCTGGGCCACCACTCGTTCTGAGCATCATCAGGTTCTTGGTGCAAGCATTGCTGGTGGGGTTTTTGCACCCCGGGAAGACTGTGAAAGCAGCAGGGTGGATGTCACATGCGGTTACTTGGGCCACCACTGGTTCTGAGCATGGCATCATCAGGTTCTTGGTGCAAGCATTGCGCTCCACCGGAGCAGAGGACAGAGCCAGGCTCCAAGGGGTGGTATCACACATCTCAACAAGGAGCAGTCACCCATAGCCTGTATCGGGGTGTGGAAGGGGACACAAAGGACTGACAGGGTTCCCACTGCCACTCCTCAGTAGGATATATTCAAAGCTACCCAACAGGAGAGAGCAGGAGCCATCTCCACCTCCCTACGGCCACATCCAGCCCTGTGTGAATCGTGTGGACTGTGAGTCCATGAGAGACACCACAAATGGCTGGAAAAATGCCCCAAACCCCTGGACTTCAGCAGAAAGGAGGTGCCTAAAACCCTTTTGGGAGGATATTACTGCTGGTTGCTGATGCAGCTGGAGATGGTTTCCGTGTGGGGCTGTCCCCTTCTTTCGGCTGCTTCCCCCCCTCCTGCCCGTGCCTCTCCAGGGGTTTACATCAGACCTCCAGAAAATCAGGGAGGTCATATGGAAAACGCAGAGCAGCCGACCACAAGTGCCAAGCTGGGCCAAGACTTGGGGCAGCTCAGTGCCCTGCCTGCCGCACCACGTCTCCCCGGCTCCCAGCAGCATTTCCAGCCTCCGTGTCACCGCGATATTCGCAGCGTGCTGAGTCAAGCAGCCGGGGCAGGCAGCAGGTGGGCTGGGACGTAAGCAAGCTTTCCACTTTGTGTGTCGCACGCAAAGAGACGCTTACTTCACCCCAAAGCAATGACCACAGGCAGGGGCTCCCGGGGCCGAGCTGGGACACGGGCTCAGCCCCTCTCCCAAAGTCCCTGGGGTAGTGCCTGTTGCAGTGCCACCCTGGGGCAGGAGTTTTAAGCAAGTATTGCTTTAAAAATTC